TTTCGTAGGGTCATGGGGCGGCTGCGCTCCTGGCCTGAAAGCCTACTTGTCCACCATTTCCAGGGGGTCTGGACTGAGAGTTGCGCCAGGCTTGTATGTTCCAGGGGGTTCCCAACCGCCTCCAGGAGTGGTTCCGGGTGGTCATAGACCTGGACACCGGTCTACAGGAGTTCTGGGGGAAGGGAGAGGATCCGGTCATACCAAGAAGGTTGGTGGAGAAGTACAGAAGGAGGGAAGAAGGGGCTCGCCCACAGGTCTGGATTCCTCCGCCCCTTCCGCCAGGGTGCCTTTTTGCTGTTTCCAGTGTAACCAGCCGGGCCACAGAGCAGCGGACTGTCCAGCCCCGAGCCCACAGGTTCCTTCCTTGACCCCTGGGAAGCCCACTCCTAGTGCCAACAGAATGCTCGATAGGTCAAGGGCGGCGCAGCAGCCGGAGGCAGTCACACCCCAACGGTTGGTCCCGGTGGAGGAGGAGGTAACAGCAGCGATGAGATACTGTCTGGCAGCTGACGACAGCGAGGATGACGTAGCCAATGATCCTATGATAAGTGAGCCCATAATGCCCTTCGTTCTGCCTGTTACACTGACCAACCTGCAGACAGGGCAACGGAGAGGCTACCAAGCCCTCATTGATTCAGGGTGCACCCAGTGCTTGATAAGCAAGGGGGTGGCAGCGGAGAGTGGGATCAGAGTACAGCGGCTAGCCCACCCTATCCAGTTCGAGCAAGTGGATGGGTCTCTGTTGGGAGGGGCACCAGCTATTCTCATAATGGAACCCGTCCGGCTGGACATGGGTACTCATTGAGAGGTCCTGCGATTCATAGTCGTCCCATCCATGACTGAGGCAGTGATTTTGGGCTTGGCCTGGCTGGACAAGTGGGGCCCTACGATATGGTGGGAAGGGGGCTATTGGAGGGTGCATATCGAGGTGGGTCCCCAGGCCCCTAACTAGGACTCTGAGGAAAAGGGGGCTGAGTGCAAAGAAAAGGAGGCGGAGTTGATGGAATCCAGGGAGGAAGCCCCCTTCCTGGCAGTGTACAGTGATCTGACTAAGGTCTTCAGTGAGCAGGAGTGCAACATTCTGCCACCCCATTGCGCCATTGATTACGTGATTGATATCCTACTGGGGGCCAAATTGCCCAAGCCCCAAATGTACACCATAACGCCCAGGGAGTTGGAGGAGCTACGACGTTATATTGACCAGAACATGGCCCAGGGTTCATCCAACCAGCTCGGTCACTGTTTAAGGAGAAAAGGGATGGTTCCCTTCGGCTCTGTGTGGACTGCCGTAGGATTAATGCGGTTTCTGTGGAGCACCTATACCCACTCCCGTTGATGAAAGACCTCCTGGCCCACCTGGGTACAGGGTGTGTGTTCACGAAGTTGGACCTGCGGGAGGCCTACTACAGAGTCCGCATAAAGAGCAGTGATGAGTGGAAGACAGCTTTTAACTGCCCGCTCAGCAGCTATCAATTCTGTGTAATGCCTTTTGGCCTGCAGGGGGCCCCCACGGTATTTATGCAACTTATCAACCAGGTGTTGCACAAACACTTATACTGCGGGGTCCTTGTGTATTTGGACGATATCCTCATATATACGACCACCTTGGAGGAACACGTCCACCTGGTCAGGCAGGTACTGAAGAAACTGTTGGACGCCCACCTCTTTGTGAAACTCTCCAAATGTGAGTTTCACCGGGCCCAGCTGGACTACTTGGGCTACAGGATATCAGGGGATGGCGTGGAGATGGACCCACACAAGGTGAGAGCAGTGGTGGAGTGGCAGGCACCCCGCACTCATCGCCAGTTTTCTGGGCTTCGCCAATTTTTACAGGCAGTTTATCCCCTCTTTTGCTGCGGTAGTCCTTCCCCTGACTGACTTGCTGTGCACAAAGCACACCGTGAGTAAGCCACATCCCAGACAGCCGCTGGAATGGTCTATGGCCTGTCAGAAACCGTTCGAGGACCTGAAGCCCTGTTTGCCAAGGAACCAGTCCTACTCCACCCGGATCCTGAAAGCCCCTTCGTAGTCCAGGCCAGTGCCAGGGACTTAGCTGTGGGGTCTGTGCTATTACAACGGAACGGCCAAGGGTTGTTGCACCCTGTGTGTACACGTCGCGGAGGTTTTCAGCCGCTGAGAGGGCGTGGGCAATTTGGGAGAAAGAAGCCTTTGTGGTGCGATGGGCTCTCTCGACATGGAGGCATCTGCTGGAGGGGGCAACCAAGCCGTTCGAGATGTGGACAGACCACAAGAACCTCGAGGTTCTACAGACACCAAGACACCTGTCGCCCAAGCACGTCCAGTGGGCCCAATACTTCCATCGATTCCAGTTCCCCCTGAAGTATGTACCGGGGGAAAGAACCTCTTGGCCAATGCGTTGTCCTGCAGGCCCCAGTACCATAGCAGCTGAGAGGATCATGCCTCTCTACCAACAGGGCGTGGCCCGAGCGGTTCCTCACCAGTTGGCAGGTGATCTGAACCAAGAGCTACAAACGGCCGTCCAGCGCAATCCCTGGTTGAGGGACCACCCAGGCCTCCTGACACAGAGGGACGGTTGGCCTGGAAAGGCAACAAAATGTACATCCCAGAGCTCCTGAGGCGTGTGGTTCTCAAGCGGTGTGACGACGCCAAGCAGGCGGGCCATTTCAGCTTCCTAAAAACATTACACCTCGTGTGGCATCAATTCTGGTGGCCTCGGGTTAAAGTGGTCGTAGAGACCTATGTGAAACGATGCCACGACTGTGCCACTGCCAAGCTCCGTACTGGAAAGCCTTTGGGCCTATTACAGACAGTAGCAGATCCAACCCGGCCATGGGAGGATATCACCATGGACTTTATTGTAGAATTACCAGAGAACTGAGGGTACACCATTATCTGAACTGTGATTGACCTGTTTTCCAAACAGGCCCATTTTATTCCATGCAAGCGGCTACCATCAGCCCAGCGATTGGTCAGGTTTTTCATAGTCCATATTTACCGTCCCCATGGAGTCCCCCGGCGTATTATATCGGATTGGGGGGGATGCAGTTTACTGCATGATTCTGGCGGGATTTCGTTAGTACATAGGGTCATCCCAGGGTCTTAGCTCAGCATACCACCCCAGCACCAACAGAGTGGCTGAGCAAGCGAATGCCATGGTGAGCGTTACCTACGATGTTACGTCTCATACCAGCAAACAGACTGGGTAGACCTGAGTTTGTCGGCAGCTAGCAGAGGACAGCTGACACAAACATTGTGAGACCGTTTTTAAAAAGCATGGCGATGCACATTCTGAATCCTAGTTGGGACTCCAATCTGGATTTCTGTATAGCTGATGATTTATTAGCTATTGAAATCCTGTCACAGAACTATAATGCCCGCAGTTTCCCTTTAATGGAATGGAGACAGGTAGTTACCGTATATGCCGGCGTATAAGACGACTTCCGGAAGCGCTAAACTTGGCGCCAAAGACAGCTTATATGCCGAGTCGTCTTATACGCCGGAAATACTGGTAGTTTCCGGTGTATAAGACAACGTTCTAGGAATGCGGCTTGGCGACAAAGACGGGGGTCATCTTATACGCCGGGTCGCCTAATACGCCGGCATATACGGTAAATGGCTTTGAATCCTATCTAAGTGTGAGTCTGGTATAAAAATAGTTAGGGCAAGGGTTATTGGGAAACAGCATTAGAACATTTTGTGGGAATCTCTTTGGCAAGCTCCGGAAGGTTTGCTCCAAGTTGTTTCAAATGCTTTCAACATTTGATCTAGTAAGTTCAGGACACTGGAATAGCCAAGGCACTGGGGTCTGGGGGAGGTGGAAATAAATGTTCTGAATCATCCTCAGACTTTGTTGAATGCTATGGAGCATTCCGGAATTAATGCTGCATGTTAAGACTAGAGATCTACTTAATTATAACATTAATTATAACAATCCATTAGCCAAACAAGTCAGGGAGTTAAAGGGAAGGAGAAAAAAAGATGCCAGGGTCACTATCTCGTGAAGGGGAGAGAAAGAACAGCAAAGATGCTGGAATGGAAGAAAGAGTTGCTACAGAATTTGAGGGAGCAAATAGGAAGAGAAACTGGTAACTATGGAACTCCCAAAAATATGGGGGCCTCCAATGGGCCATTGCTCAACAGCCTGGGGAGCACCACTAACAATATATGATGCTGATATACAAAGTAGGAGATTGACTTACTTACTACAGTTTAAAACTTAACACAGCACAATTGTTGCATTTGGGCATAATATGCTATGCCCAAAGATATGGACTACATTATAGTTTATTACATGAGCTAGTCTCCCAAAAGGCACTCTTTTTTTAGCTTCATCTTTCACTTTATACAAATCCTAGACTGGGGTCCCTAATCCCCGATCCGTGGACCAGCACTGGTCCACAGCATGCCGAACACTGGGCCATGCAAACAAGCCCCATCTGCGGGATGCAAGCAGCATGCGAAACCACACCCCCTCTCCACAGAACTGGTCCCTGGTGCCAAAAGGCTGGGGATCATTGCTCTAGACCAAATTAGCTATGCTTTCCAAACCTACTGAAATAGGATCATAACTCAGGAATAAAGAGGTACTTAACTTTCTTGTACTGTAAAGACAAATCCAATTACATATACTTCTCCTTTCAGTACTTCCATTGCCTGGAAAAAGACAAGTTAAATTCTTGAGGATTGTAAAAATGTGAAAGTCAGTGTTTAAGTGTACGGTATGTCCTGCCCAATACACAATTACTGGGCTCAATGGACTATTATCCAGAGGGTGCAGCTATTTGTGTATTTAGAAATCAAGCAAAACATCTACATAATTAATACCACCATCCTCTAAGGAAAAAAATGGCACACAATACTTCATTTTTAATGGAACTAATGTTTAAGGGCTCCTTCTTCTGCATCGCTTAATCACCAAGACTCATTTGCTCAATTGACCATATTGATCCTCGCTACCATCTAGTAGACCAATCCAGGCTTCTCTCTGTTCCCTGGATCAATTATCCCTCAAGTAGAAATGGTGGTGGAATTCTTGGTTCTTTATTAGTCAACAACACTTAAACGCAAAACTGAATTGTTTTGGGAAATGTCCATCAAAATACTGCTACTGATAATTGGGAGAAGTTCTCAGGATGTGTCATCCAAAGTGCAAGGGAGAAAAAAGCAGGTTACAGCAAGACTGGAAGTTGTTCAAGAGAAGGTATCCTTGGTGGTGATCCATCCTTCACAAAGATGAATAGATGCACAAGTGCAAAACTGGTCCTTACAAATACTCCTTTCAACCTAGAAGGAAGAAAAAAGGAAATGATACTTTAGGCTGCATACAGTGGGATTTGCAGCCTTTTCAGCAACAGATAACACAGGCTTTACACAGACTGCCCAGCTTGCTATTTGGGATAACTCTAGGCTGCTTAGTTTAAAAAAATAATGTTCTTGTAAATTTGCTCAACTTCTGTTAACTATTCAGACATATCTGAATACACACTGAGTATTTTGTCAGTGACTTCCAAGGTGTTCTTCTGATGACCACAACTCTGGGATGGTGTATACCAAGTCCAATCATGATTAGCTTTTTCAAGATCAGCCAAATTGATTTGGTGTTGCCACAACAAAGGCAATGCTGGGATTAGTACACACCATTATCTGCTATCACAAGTCAAGTCTTATTTACCCCAATCCCCTTCCTGGAGTCTGGATAGCTCAAAGTCCAAAACAGACATTCTCGTAGTCTGGAACATCATCTTCACTTTCCCGATCACTAGTGCCAACTGCTGGAACATGAGAAACAATAATGTGTGTTAAAGTGCGTACATGTCTACATAAGCATTTGTTAATAGTTTAATGAGAGACTAAACCAGAAGTCAACAACTCTTACCCCAAGGCCACAAGCGGCCTTCCAGGTCATTTATCTCTGCCTATCACAGTGACTTATCACTTTTTCCTGACCTAATGTTACAATCAACAAAAGACCATTTCTGTAAAGCCTGATAGTCATAGAGCTTAGCATAGAAGCCTCGAGAAAACTCTGCTATTATGGCCGTAGAAGCAGAGCCATTCCAAACACCAATAGCAGCTGCAATGTAATTCAACAGGGGACTGACAAATAAAAAAGGACTTTTATTTCCTTTTCTAATGCCCATAGCTGTTTTGAAGCCACTTGGAGTAAAAGACTCAAGAGATGCTGTACATTTTCCTGGGTAGGAGTAAGTTACCCTCTCCAACCCACCATTCAGTATGGCATGCAATGCTGGAGCTAAAAAGGGCTGTTTTTTACCAATAGGCCAAAGAAAATGAATGCATTGCTGAGAATAAGGATGTCTTCCCTTGCCCATCCTTTCAGCTTCCCTCACTCACCAAAACAAGGATCTAGTATGATCGGTGCTGGCTCTAGTACATTCACGTATTCACCTTTGCAGGAGAAAGGAAAAATGAAAAAAAGTGACATTAAATCCCACATCAATGTCAGTAGAAAACAACAGCCTTCCCTAATGTTGGTCTAATCACCAGGATTTGCTGAAAAAAGGTAGAATAAATCTTGCAGACCAAGTAACTATAGCTCATTTGGTAAATGTATTGTGTTCTTTTCCCTTTTATTAATTGCTTCTGCCTTACACCTATGTGATTACTTAGAAAAGCTTGGAGAGGTAACCAAAAATAAATCAGGAATCAGTCAGGAGGAAAACAAAAATACCTTTCCAACAGTGACTGGTCTCACACATTCAGACTGTCAGGGTTTCTTTCAGTTGTGTGTTATTGAATAAACCACTACTGGCTAGGTTCAGTGCCAACATAATAATAAATTCACAGTTTAGTGCAGGGGTGTCAAACTGCCGGGCGCAGGCCGGATGTGTCACAGGGAAACACTGCCCACCCCATTGCCGGCAATGGGGAAAATGTTCCAAGACGTCGTGCGACGTCAGGTGATGTCGCGAGTTTGACATGTCTGGTTAAGTGCCTAGAAATTATGGTAATTACAATTCAAAAGATCTGGGAGGCAGATGATGGGACAAAAATTAGAATCTGCTTTCTCTATGAAATTTACTGTGTCTCTATTTAAATTGAGATTTCTATGAGATTTCTGTGAGATTCACCATAATATTTCAAAATGTGTATGTTTATATATAAATGAATCCTTGCAAATGTAACATGGGTTTTATTTTTCCTTTGTTTCTTGTTCATCAATATTTACAATAGGAGAGCTTTTTTCTATAATGGCATCCCACATATGGAACTCTGTCCTAACGAATCCCAATTGGGGTGACATTTGCATCATTTTGGCATCAGGCAAGGATCTATTTTCCCAGGTTTTTTTAATTAGTTTTTAAATTTGTATTTTTTAAAAACGCTGAATGAATGTCCTTTTGCTGCCTACCTTATGTGTTTTCATTTTGCATTTTATTTATAAACGACCATATTTATTCTACATGTTCTTTTTTCAAAGTACAATAGAATTTTGAAAAAAACTTTGAATGTACACTAAACAGCATACATTAAAAATAAAATGTCATTGCATTCAGCTCTCAAAAAAAAATACCATTATGCATATAACCACATACACATACATATATGACACAGAGAAACATCACAGTCTAGTAGTTCGAATGTATACATATACATGACGGAAAAAAAAGAATCCTGCAAATTTACAAGACGGATAGCATAAGGAACAAAGCTGTTACATAATTTAGTAGTAGTGTTATAAATGAATGATTTATTTATAATTATTAATAATTATTTTAATTATTATAATGAATCTTTTAATGTGTTTTGTTATAAAATGCCTGAAGGCTTCAGCTATTAAGCGGTTTTAAATTTTTTTCATAAATAAAATAAGACAAATACCGTAAATGCCGGCGTATAAGGTGACTTCCGCAAGCGTTAAAATCGGTGCCAAAGACGGGAGTCGTCTTATACGCCAAATCGTCTTATACGCCGGAAATACTGGTAGTTTCCGGCATATAAGACGATGTTCTAGGAGTGTGACTCGGCGACAAAGATGGGGGTCATCTTATACGCCGGGTCGCCTTGTACGCCGGCATATACGGTACCCTTCTAATATATCTGGAAAAAGGAGTCTTGCAGAACCATTTTTAAAACTATGGGACAGTATTTGCTCCTTCATAGATGAGAACATCATTGTAACTTACTTTGTTCTACTATATGCCAACCAAACCATCTTCCAAACTCAACTCCACCACTATTTTTTTTTTTAACTAGTCCTGTCCCTCCTCTCAGCCCATGTCTTCCACTTACCGAGTGAATGCCGTTGAGACTCGGGCACATTTTCATATTGGTCCAGTATGGACTCTAGAGAAAAAAAAATTAGGTGAAGGGAAGCATGTTTAAAAAGAATGAAGCAATACATATTGCAGGTAGTCCTTGACTTACAGCAATTCATTTAGTGACCGTTCAAAGTTACAATGGCACTGATAAATGTGACTTATGACTGTTTTTCACAGTTACGACTTTTGCAGCATCCCCCATGATTATGTGATTAGAATTCAGATGCTTGGCTACTGGTTCATATTTAAGACTGTTGCTATGTCCCAAAGGCCTGTGTGATTATCTTTTGTAACCTTCTCACAAGCAAAGTCAATGAGGAAGCCAGATTCACTTAACAACTGTGTTACTGACTTATCAACTGCAGTGATTCATTTAACAACTGTGGCAAGAAAAGTCATAAAATGGGGCAAAACTCATTTAACAAATGTCTCACTTAATAAGAGAAATTTTGGGCTCAATTGTGGTCGTAAGTTAAAGACTACCTGAACTCAGGGTTATTAACAATTAAGATAGTAATTAATATAGTAATTACAAAATAAATTATCTTTTTTTTCAGAAAAACTGAAGTTTTAAACACATAAAATATTACAATCTTCTGTATATAGGAGGTCTTTGACTTGTGACCATAATTGAGCCTCGAATTATGGTGGCATGTTGTTGCAGTTATTAAGTGAACCACCATGTGACTGTTAAGCAAATCCATTTACTCAATGGGCGTTTTTTGTTGAAACGGTAAGTAAAGGTAGGAAACCAGTAAACCACATCAAAATTGCGGCCTTGTGACCATAGAATACTGCAAATGAGCCGGGTGCCAAGCATCCAAAATATGATCACATGATTGGGGGGAGTGCATGTGACCATTGTAACTTTGAAACTGGGTTGTAAACAGCTTTTGAGGTGTCTATTATGACTTTGAACAATTGCTAATTGACCAGTTGTAAGTTGAGTTCTAGCTGTTCTTCTCTAGGTATACACCTCAAAACATGGTAGGATTTACTTGTCAATTGACCAGCACAGATCTGAAGCACCCATGCTAGTTGCTAAAAATATTCCAAATTGTTAGAAGGGAAAAATTTCAACTCTCATCGCACAGAAAGAGATCGGTTATGAGGGGATGTCCTTCTCTTTGTAGAACCTGGGAAGACATCTCAGCTTCTAATGTGGTTTCTTTTTTTTTCTTTTTTTTTTCCCCCAAGTTTTTTATTACTTTTCCAATATTACATTTACATATTTGAAAAGTAGCGTGGCAGTTGAGCACAGTAATTCCATTACATTTAAATATCATCAGTACAAATCTCAAAGTATTACAACAACTAATTCCCTCTCTTTCCCCCATAAAATCTACTGTCATATTCAGATCAATACAGTTCTTATTCTATCAATCAAACAACAACAAAAATACCTTTCTAGTATTCATCAATAATCTTCAGTCTATACATATCTTAATTAATTTGACATTTCATCTTTTAGACAATAACCTAATAAGTTTTTCTTAACTTTAATTTCCCATTGATATTTAAATTTAAATTTAACGTTTAATCTTTATCATTTCCAGATTTTAAATGATCCCAATTTCCCAGTCTCCTATCTCATATTTAGGGCTAATACTTTTTTTCTTTTCTTCCTTTTACTTCCTTCCTTCCTTCCTTTCCAGAAAAAGAGAAAAAAAAAATTAAAAAACCATCAGCATTTGTACCACAAACCAATATACGAATTTAATTATTAGTATTTATACTTCTAAGTTTTACTTAACCTGTGTCTCAACTCATAACAATATCTTAAACTCAAATCTTAATTATCTATAAACATTCAAACTTTTAGCAAATCAGTGACCTGGTGGTTAATTTTCCCTTAATATTTTAATTTAACATTTAATATTTATTTATTCTTTTCAAATTTTAATTAAGCACAATTCCTTTATCACAATTCCTCATACAATCTAATATTTAAAATACAGACCTTATATATAAATTCTACCATATATCTTAACAAACTAATAAAACAATATAATATTCTTATTTCAATATTTATATTTCTAGATTTTATAAAACCAATGTTTTTATCTCATTACAATATCTTATATTCACAATACATATTCTATCCATTTAGATATATTCTATTTTGGATCTCATGTATAAATCAAAACCCCAATTCCTTTCAGTCTCATTCTAGCTTTTTTCCTCTGCCAAATCATCTTTTGTATCTTCGCTTTTAAATCATCAAAAAGATCTCCTTGTATTATTGTGGCTATTGTTTGATAATAATAATGATGATAAAGTTGGAAGGGACCTTGGAGGTCATCTAGTCCAACCCCCTGCTCAGGCAGGAAACCCTATACCATTTCTGACAAATCGCTGTCCAGTTTCTTCTTTAAAACTTCCAGTGTTGGTACATTCATCGCTTTTGGAGGCAGGTTGTTCCACTGGTTAATTGTTCTAATTGTCAGGAAGTTTCTCCTTAGTTGTAGGTTGCTTCTCTCTTTGGTTAGTTTCCACCTGTTGCTTCTTGTCCTGCCTTCAGGTGCTTTGGAAAATAGCTTGACTCCCTCTTCTTTGTAGCAGCCCCTGAGATATTGGAACACTGTTATCATGTCCCCCCTCGTCCTTCTCTTCGTTAAACTAGACATACCCAATTCCAGCAACCGTTCCTTATATTGATATTGATAAGGGCATTCAGTTGCTGTTTTCTTAAGATGGCTAGCTGATTTAGCAGGTTGTCTCTTTGTTTTTCCAATTCAATGCAGTTGTCCTGAAGTATTTATCTTCTCTTTCATTTGTTTTTCTTTTTTATCTTCAAATTCCTTCTGGTTTATAAGAAAAGTCCTTTCCTTGTTCTCTATTATCCGTTTCTTTTTTGTGTTTTCCACTGTCTGTATTTGTTGAGTATCTAAGTCTTCTGTCATAGCATTTGGTTGTTGTTTCACTATCTCTATAGAATTCTGTATAGATCAGTGATGGCAAACCTTTTAGAGACTGAGTGCCCAAACTGCAACCCAAAACCCACTTTTGCATCGTCGAGTGCCAGGTGGGTGTGGCCCATTGGATGGGCATGGCCAATTGGGTAGGCATGGCTGCAGTGGTAACGGCAGACTGGGTGGGACTAAAAAGTTCAATCAATCAATTCCAACTTTGCAAGAACTTTTGTTTTCCTGCAAGAAGTTGAAATTGACTGATTGAACCTTTTTTTTTTTTTGCACATGGCGGCGGAGGCCTAAAGCGAAAAGGTTTTATAAAACCCAGCTGAAGGCCTAGGACTGGGGTGACGACGCGCGTGCCCACAGAGAGGGCTCTGAGTGCCGCCTCTGGCACCCGTGCCATAGTTCGCCACCACTGGTATAGATGATTCTTTGGTTGAAGTCATAGTTTGAGTTTGAAGAGTTTGGATAATTGCTTTTAACATATAAAGAATTTGTTCCTGTACTTCCTCTGTAGAAAAAATCCATTCCTGTTCTTCTTCCATTGTAGTGTATTAAACTTTAAAAAAAAAACACAATCAGAAAGTCCACCACGTAAGGAGCTGAACTGAGTTTCTTGCAGATGGTGCTTCAAGGTTGCTTTATATCTTATCTATTTTCAAGGCTGTCAACAAGTCTCTCTTAAAGAATAGCAGGTTGCAGTCTCAAATTTAGCCAGCAAATGTCATCTCAGGGTTAGTTAGATCTTTTCAGTTTTCTTTCCCCCCTCTATTTAAGGGGGAGAAAAAGAACCCAAATCTTCAATAGTAGTTAGAGTAAAAATCAGAGAAGAAAAAAAAATAGAGAGTAGAAAGTTACAAGTCTTATAATCCATCAGTTTTAGAAAATAGAATTCCAATTAGGATCCCAGTATTTTTCCAATGTTTTAAACTCCCGAGTAGTTGATATGTGGTTTCTTTGACAACCGCAGAAAATGGTTGATCTTAAAAAAATGTTTTTTTTTCCAATATTTACAAATATTCTGTGATATTTTTACTGGATTATATTTTTACAGAGGCTACAAAAGCTAACAATTGCACCTGGATTTCCTACATTTCTTATCATCATCATGGATGGCATATCTACTGTGGAGGGTAAATCAGAAAAGTAATTTAATTTCCAGGGCAAAACAGCCCCATCTCTGAGGAGAAAACCATTGTTTCAAGTATGATGTGGGTTGTTGCAAGTATTGTGTGAGGTTTTATATCTGAAATGCTCAGCAAGCCAAAAGAAAACATTTTGCATTGCCCTAAAATCAAGTAAACAGAATGTCTGAACTCCTTAAAGAAATATGTATTTTTTTAAAGAATCTCATACGACATGGAAGGAATGTATGTGTGTTTGGGTAGACTGTTTTCTTCTTCAACTTCCTTTTCTTCTAAGGGTTCCCTTCCTCCCCCCCCCTTAGTTCTTCTTAAATCTTGCTGAGTTTGGAGGTTCCTCTCTTTCCAATTCTAGTGTCATGCGGATCAAGAAACCATGTGAGAACAGCATGAGGAACCCAAAGGCAAAGAAAGGCAACTTAATCCAACAACATTAAGAGGCCATGATCAGCAGGGACAAAAGAATCCTTCTAGTTGCCAACTTACCAGAAGAGGCATGATCTTTTTTTCTCTGTTCTGTGATTGGAACATCAGGCAACACCACTCTGTTGAGGGCAAGCAAGACCCAGTAAGAGCAGAATGAAGCAATGAATTAATATTGCTACTCCTCGCCCACAACTGCCTTCATTAGGTTATAAATCGGAATTGGTCTCTATTTCTACTGCTCATTCTTTCCCTTTTTGTATTACCTCTCTTAAATTACTAAAAAATAGTTATTAAATTGGCTGAACTGCTGTGAACAAATGGCAAGGAATGTTATAAATGAAAAAAAAAATCCACGAATCCCAAGTATGGAACCAAGAAATTATATAAATACAACAATTCTATAAATACCATTTTAAGGAATAAAGTACTGTGATTCATCCCATATACCGTATCTATGAACCACAGTTTTTAATCCAACTTCTAGATTACATTCCTACATTCAAACAACTTGGTATCATTTTTACCCCCTGTATTGTAAAACCTCTAAAATGTTCAGATGCAGACAAAGGAAACAACTATATATTAAATTTCAGAATTACATGCACATATACACACGTTAAGGAAGAATGGGGGGGAAACTATACAGTAGGTTTCACACAAAATGTGTCATTTCTTCACCCAGATGCCTAACACACACAATAGTAGCAATTTCCAGGCCAGGGAGAGCATTTCAGAGAAGGAGAACCATCACAATACAACTACAATGCTATGCAGAGAGTCCTCAACTTACGACCACAATTGAGCCCAATATTTCTGTTGTTAAGTGAGACCGTTTTTAAGTGAGTTTGCCCCGTTTTACAATCTTCCTTGCCACAGTTGTTAAGTGAATCACTGCAGTTAAGTTAGCAACATGGTTGTTAAGTGAATCTGGTTTTAGGTTGACTTTGCTTGTGAAAGGGTCGCAAAAGGGGATCACATGACCATGGGACACTGCAACCATCATAAATAAGAATTGATTGCCAAGCACCTGAATGTTGATCATGTGACCATGGGGATGCTGCATCGGTCATAAGTGTGAAAAACAGTCATAGTCACTTTTTTCCAGTGCCGTTGTAAATTCAGACAATCACTAACAACTGTTGTAGGTTGGGGACTATCTGTAATTATAGTTACATTCCCTGGCTACTCTCTGCTCAAACTGGGAATGATAGAAGACTAAATTATTCAGTCTAAAATAACACTATATTGACCTAAATATGCTTTCCCGCTGACTCCCATCCTTTCCGAAGACTTACATGTATCCAGGAATATAATTGTCATCATCATCAGGGACAAAAGGTGGTTCTGGGAAGACAAAGCCTCAAAAGATTAGATGTTCCTCTTTAGATATAAATGAGTTCTACCTCCCTCCTCACCTTGAAAATGAAACCCCACTGAAATATAAAGAAGCTTCCAGAATCCAAAGAAGGGCCATGTGCCCAAATCTAGATCAAAAAGACTCAAGAAGAGTGAGGCAAAGATTGTGGGAAGGAGAAAAAAAAAAGAATATCGATTATGCTGCTACTCACCTTCATTTTCATAACTGGGAACGCTTTCTGAAAATAGACAATGTATGTAAGGGAGATTAGGTCGTCAGAATGCAGTACAGTAGATTCCCAAAGCTACATTCTGACCTGTATCCTTGCTCTGTTTCATAAAAGATTTTCAAAAAGGCTATCTATTCCAACAGCTAGGACTTCTGGTCCTAGAGCAGCTACAACATGAATAGTCTCCCATTTTCTTGTATATGAGTCTTTACAACTTACCATTATCCTCAGTTCTGATGAATGCAGGTGTCTGACTACAAAGGCTGTAAGCAGAGCCTGTGCTGCAAACCGGAGGGGGAAAAAAGGGATTAATACATGTGAAAATACCTGAAGAATCTCATAATCTACCACAGGGATGAGGTGCCCTTTATTTTTTTAACTTTTTATTTTTAGCCATTTCTTTCAATTGCCAAGAATCTCTTAGTACAGGGGTAGGCAACTTTGGCTCTTTTATAACTCGTGGACCTCAACTCCCAGAATTCCTGAGCCAGCTTGGCTGGCTCAGGAATTGTGGGAGTTGAAATCCACAAGTCATAAAAGAGCCAAGGTTGCCTATCCCTGTCTTAGTATATAAGAAAGATGCTGTGATATCACCAGTGGGAGGTAGAGAGAAATTGTAGCTTTTTTTTTTTTTTTTTGCTATTAACTGTGAAGAAAGTTAATTAAAACTCTTAGACTGTTGTACATCAATTATAACTCTTTTTTTAAAGAAAAAAATTCCTCACACTTCCATAATTCAGGGGTTTGCTACTCAAATCCAAAACATAATCTTTAGCAAGGAAAGGTGTTGGGACATGTTCATCCTAGATTCCCATTCCTGATCTAGCCTCTGTCACTTTCAACATAAGGCTTGTATGGATTTCCCACACACTTCCTCAATTATTCCTATCTACAAACCCTCCCCCTAATAGCAATAGCATCTAGACCAGTGGTTCTCAACCTTTTTAATGCCGCAACCCCCAACCGGTCGTAAGTCGAGGACTACTCAACTGATGCAGCACCCTTTGCAGAATGGGACTTTTGGCGGGCTCAGCCTGGACAATTCCTATTGCCTTTCAAAAGCCAATAGAATAAAAGGGAGTAGCACAGCTAAGGGGAAAAAAATGGCGGACTGCGTTGTTTGGCGACCCCGGTGAAATGATCGTTCGACCCCAAATGGGGTCCTGACCCACAGGTTGAGAACCACTGATCTAGACTTATATACCACTTCACAGTGCTTTACAGCCTTCTTTAAGTGCTTTACAGAGTCAGCCTATTGCCCCCAACAATCTGGGTCCTCAATTTTCCAACCTTGGAAAGGTGGAAGGCTGAGTCAACCCTGAGCCAGTGAGAATCGAACTGCCAAACTGCAGGCAGCCGGCAGTCAGCAGAAGTAGCCTGCGGTACTGTGAAGTGGTATATACTTGGCCATGAGGAGTTGTCCCATTCCGCCTTAAGCCTATGTTACCAGTTCCCCATGGAAAAGCAGCTAAGGAGGGGCTTAGAGCAGCAGACAAACTGACAAAGCATTTGCTACCTAAAGCAAACCAGGTGGACAGTCTCCTTGCATTAAATAAAAATGTACCCACATTAATAATGAATTGTGTTTCAACTCAAGAAACAGGACACCTTTCTACAATGCACCTAAGTGGAGCTTACTAGTTTAGGAGGGCAGGCAGCAAATGACTAAGGACACAAAGTTTTATCTTTTAATGTTTTGCTGCTGCTGCCATTCACCACCCAGTATCCTTCATCTTAAGCAGATGTCTTATCACACAATTAACACTGAGAGAACAGGGGGAAGGAGAACAGCTCACCTCTGCAAATCTGGCTGGGACAGGATGGCAGACCAAGGTGGCGCTGCAGACGGAGATAGGAGGGGGGGGGGAAAGAGTCAATCTCAGGTAGGGCAGAACCCAGCTTCCTTTTTTACTTTCTGTGACTCAAGCAACAACAGCCTGAGGGATAGCTGGCTAGCCAAGTTTAAACTATATTTTTAAAAGCTACAGATCAAACGGAAAGTGTTGTTGTGTGTCACCATTCATTTAAATTTCCTGTATCCCCCTAATTATTTTCTTTGGGGGAAAAGTAAGAGTTAAACTGAAACAAGGATGCTTCAAAATTTTTAAAATATGGGCTTATTTATAAAACTCAGCAATTTCTTCAATATTCTCAACACACACTATTTCTTTCATCTTTCTGTCCTTAAAAGATATTTTTCTAATGAGAGAGAGAAAAAAGACTTAATATTTAACTGCATGCACTGATAGAGAGCAATAGAAATATTTTTCTCTGACCATTCATGGTTTAGGGCAGAGAGATATAATCTCAGGCCATTCCTCCAATGAGCCAGGAGTTAAACTATTAACATAGTAGTTTAACCATTTGCTGCCTTCTCTCCAAGCTGAAAATCTGCTACTTCAGGTAGCCATCTCATTCTGCCTGACACCATTCACCCAATGGTAGGGCTGGCCGCAAGATCCAAACTTAAAGCTACACCTGGAATCCACCAAATATTGATTCTGTTCACTGACATTACAAATCTTAGTTCATCTAAGATCTAAGCCAGTATTTTTTTAAGAAAAACATTTCCTGCGGCAAGCACAAACGGGTGTGTATACATATACATACCTCCGCGTGCTAAAAGGAAACACAGTGTAATAGTAAATGTCGGCTTGAGCTTCTTAGGAACAGATTATACAAATTAAAACCAGGTTCAAACACCTTCAACACTCTCAAATGCTATACTATGTTATTAAGTTAGAGCCTTCAGCATAAAATGCCACTTTCATGACGTAGGTGGCATCTTACATTGAAGGATACTAATGGAAGACAGCATGGCTTGAGAATGGTAAAGCTGAGAGTTCAAACTCTCAGAAGAATGGTAAAGTTGAAAGTTTAGTAGCAGGACTACTGAATCCTGAGATGGAGGATCCACTTCCCCAAATTTTAAACCATAAGGGTTTTTTTTTGTTTTTTTTTTAAAACAAAAGGCAACCAAGAAGTAATGTTGAAACCCTCTTAAACAGGTCAGTTTTGAAATATGGCTAAAACCGAGGTCTACTTACAAGGAGGACGCCTCAACACTCTGAAAGTCTGGGAATGAATATTAGTGGAAGGCCTGTGAGAATAATAAACCATTCAGAGTCTATTTTCTGGAGGGTAGGGGACATAAATCTGAAAGACGCAGTTATCATTTTTCAAGTATCTTACTCAGCAGTCATCATCAGAATCTTTTTCCAGCTGTTCTAGACTATGTTGAATGATTCGCTCATCACTCCATATCTTCTACGCAAACCTTTGCAAACCCGACACCCTTTGGTTGAGTTGGCAATGCTGCCGCTTCTACTTGCAAAAGTTTTACGCTTACCATAAACATCCAGAGGAACCAAGGAATAAACCTGGCTTCTTCTCTACATGCAGAGCACCCAGACTATTCCACTGAGCTACAGCTGTTCTAATTCGGTGCCACTCTTAATCTGTATGTTACGCTAAGCCAAATATGGTCTGTTTGATTTTCTTTAACAAGAAAATCCTTTCCTTTTGCTTCATCCATTTATCAATTTATATGGCTGCTGCTTCCCAGAATAACTGAATAGTTAACATAAAAAAATAATGGGCAGGAATAAAAACAGATATCCAGTCCCAACCAGCAAACCACATCAGACATTTTGTGAATCCAACCACTTCAACTTATAAACCTTGATTAATAGATGGGTGTTGTGTGAACCCAGCCAATGTGAGATGTAGTCATGTCATGCCTCAGTGTGATATGTGAATCCAGCCTCTCTCTGCCTAAGCCATGGAGATATTTCCAAAGCTAATCTTATGCAGCTAAGCTAAGCAAGTTGGAAATGTAAATTGCTATCAATTTTTCTCTGTGACTATCAAAAACTTTTCTTCGTGACTCATTTAAGCTTGTGCATTGAGGTCTTGCAAATTCTGTTACAAGTTATAACAGAAAATCTGCACTGAATGTCCTTGAAAGAATGTTAAATTAAAACTGCCTTGTTCTTTTCTTATCAGGGCAAAGCAACTCAAATCAGTCCTGGTTCCCTGAACAAAAAGCCATTGCTGAAAGGAATGTCGTCAGATTATCAGTGCTTTGGTTTGAAACAGGAATTAAAGCCATACTTTGCAGCTGCCAGTAATAAAAATTACAGAAGACCTGTTGTAGGCCAAAATATTGCCACAAGATATCCCACATAATTATATATTCATTCCAAGTACTGTGCAACCAGGAAAAAATACCAGAGCAAATTTATTGGTATTGCAATACACTTAAATGAGTCAAGTTATATATTCACAGCAGCAGCTCATCCAACAGAATAGGTTCAAAGTCTATTCCAGACTGCTGTACCACTTTGAAGTATAAAATAAATTATATTACAAAATGCTATTAATTTTAAAAAAAAAAAACCATGGGCAATGGACAGAGAGACAATATTTCCCCGAATGAGATATTTCTATGTAATAAATATCTTTAACAAGTGATTTACCCACGCATCACCATAGAGATGATACCAAAAGGGACAGCCCAAACACTTTGTCATCTCATCTATTGTGCTGTTGTGTGAATTTTTCAAATTATGACACGGTTCACTCACAGTTAAGCCACATTTGCTTAATATGATTTCCTGAATAAGCATTGTATAGGTTTGCACAACACACTAAACTATAAACCATGGATCACAATTATAATGACAGGGTCCACACAAGATGCTAAGTGAAACTAAACAAACCAGAGTTTGGCTTTGCATGGTAGGTGAACCAAATCATAACAGTTAATGACCTTTTTTTAAAAAAGGCCTTAATATTCACTTCTCAATACCGTCATAATAAAATATATTTCTAGAATCTTTCCCAACATAACTGCATTCAACTTTGACAAAGTTTTCTTCAATGCTGTTGTTTTCTCTTACAGTATTACTGAAATGCTTTAAATGTTGGGTGTTTGATAATGCATTTTGCTTTTGTCACTAACTGACAAAAAGGATTTGTATGGATTTTAAAATCTTTATAATCTTACCTCTCCGAGGGAAGACTGTCAATATTCCAGCTTGGTAAAATGGCTGACAGAATAAGTTTTGGCCAAGTATTGGCCAAGCCTATGTCTGTAAGCTATTTCAAGATAAGAATTAAAACAGGCTCAACCAAGCTGTAAGCTCTTAAAAATTGGAACGCTCACAAGGGCATCTTCAAACCCATTTAACTGTGGCAATGCTGAAGTAAAAATGGAAGAAACGCTAGTGGTTCATATGGCACCACTTTTTCAGGCTGATAGGCAGTTTTCTTCTCTATTGCCTGCTACCTCATCTCTATTTTAAATTGGGAGATACCAAGGATTGAATGGAATGTTCAAAGAATGTGCTGCACTAGACAGGTATGGCCTCTCTTTCAATTCTTTGATTGCTACCTTGCCCAAGGTAGTCACATAACATTTGAAGTGTATATTTGATTGTGGGGAACAGATACAAAAGTAGGATAATTCCTGGTTGCATAGAAGAGAATATTTTGCAAACTAAGCCCTCTTTTTTTCCCCAGGGACAAAAGTTCTTTCCAAGACCACATTTTATTTCTGCTTTCTAAACCTGCCTGAATTCTGGTTTCCCATTCTTTATTTTGCCCCAAGATAAGATAGTCATGGACTCACTTGTATTGGTAGTCATCGATAGCAGGTGCTGTTCAGAAAAAAGAAACAGATATACAAATGAAATTAGGAGAGCCCTACAATTTGTCTTGAGATGAGAGTCATTATTGAGTATTTAAGAACTGGAGGCTATTCCCCAAAATAAACATTTAGGAAGAGGGAGGGCAAGACTTAACTGTCTAAATCAGGGTCACGGCAATCAGTGCACAGTAGCAATAGAACCACCAGGATTGGGATTGCAAGTGCCAACATCCAGAAGAAATCACCCGTGTGGAAGATATCCATGCCACCTGCAAACTGACAGTAGAGATTGTAGATTTGGGATGGCAGCAGAATCCAGAGTGAAATATAGCATTGAGCAGGCTAGTGGAACATATTGACAGCCCTGTGAAAAATAACCAAATTAGGGTTAAGATGATAAAGCAAATAAAAACATTTCTCTCCCCTATACAATATCCTTTGGCATTCAGTACATGTAATAATTCCTTATTCTGAATTTTAGTTTGGACAGCATTTGGAATGTTTAATACTAAGTAGAAACAAAAAACAAAAAAAGGAGTTAAAAAAAGGAAAGGTGCTTAAGGATAGAAGATACAGCATAGGCTTTTTGAGGGAAGCTGATAGTCCTTCCTTCCTTCCTTCCTTCTTCCTTCCTTCCTTTATTGTTTTAATAAACAACTCAAGGTGGTAAACACACATAATACTACTCCTATTTTCCCCAACAACAACCTTGTTGGGTGGAGAGAGAGAGACTAGCCAAAAGTCACCCAATCAGCTTTCATGCCTAAGACTAGAACTCACGCTCTTCTGGTTTCTAGCTTGGTGCCCTAACCACTAGACCAAACTGGCCTGGCCAGTACAGAAGGGCGACCTTTCATACTCTTGCTTTATGCTTGTTGGGAGAAATAAAAAAGAGGAAGGTGGTAGGAAGAAGCTGAAGACTGAATTCACATGAGGTACTCAATCAGAGAAACTCCAAGTAATAGTATTTGTACAATATGGCATTTTGATTAGTTTCAGTTGGAGAGAGGGGCTTAGCATGTGGGCTAAACTTGACTTGTTTTGTTAGTTTACGATTCAACGTATTGTTGTAATGCAGAAACTGTTAATTCATTAAATCCAGTGCAAATTAATTGCAAGATGGACAAATATGTTCTTAACATATTTGGGAACATGCAGGCTTCAGAGGATGAGATAATGTTGCAAAATTAGTGGACCATATGAATTTTGAGGGAAGAGAAAGGAAGAAGGACAATGCTTCTTTGAGGAATTCTTTTTCAAAAGATATGTTACGAACTTTAGGACATTCTATTGCAGTGGTTCTCAACCTTTTTAATGCCGCGACCCCCAACCGGTTATAAGTCGAGGACTACTCAACCAGTCGTAAGTTGAGGACCACTCAACTGGTGCAGGACCGTTGGCAGAATGGGACTTTTGGCGGGCTCAGCAGGGCAGAGACAGCCTGGACAATTCCTATTGGCTTTTGAAAGCCAATAGAATTAAGACTCTATTCAAGAGAGTCTATTCTATTGGCTTTCAAAAGCCAATAGAATAAAAGGAGTAGCACAGCTAAGGAAAAGGGGGAAAAAATGGCGGATTGCGTTGTTTGGCGACCCCCGTGAAATGGTTGTTCGACCCCAAATGGGGTCCCGACCCACAGGTTGAGAACCACTGCCCTATTGTTTTGATATTTCTTCTCTCAAAACGTGAAAAATCTCTGGCCAATTTTCAACAGAAGGTAAACTGGAATTTTTACACAGATAATGTTAGAATAAATCAAGTCTTCACATTTTAAGTTAAAACCCCATAATTCTGTAATAATTAAGGCACTGAGTTGCGGATGAGTTAAGAAGCACGCAACTGGATGTGATGTTCTATATTCAAAGACAAAAAGAGGCTTCAGACAGAGCATCTCACAGCATCCACATAACATCTGTCTTCCACTTCTTAAGCCAAATGTATGTTTTCCCAAGACTGAGTTGCAGTTACGGTAGAAAATCACACAATCTCAGGAAAAAATGCAGCTGATTTGAGGAGATTCAGACTAGTGCTACATGAGCAGCCTATGCATTTCAAAGCTTTTTTTTTTTTTTTTTGCTTTTGAATCTGAAGCACTGTATTACCTTATTAAGTATTAGTCCCAGACTCCTGGGTGTTTATAAGCAAATGCCAGTAGAAGTATCAATTGAGCAGAGAAAGCTATAATTTTCAAAGTGCTGGCATAAAATACCCCCCCCCCCAGGGTTCTTAGGCAAATGGTGCAGATACTTCCTTAATTTCCTTCAAAGGGCTAGTGTTAGGAAAGTATTTCTAAGCACATGATCATCTTCAGAGCAGTGCTAAAATCTAAAAGCACACAATGTTTGGGCCTGACCATGACTTCTGTGGGGCATGCTAGAGAAATGCACTCTATAATAATCAATCAAAGCAATATTGCAATATGACTACAAATAAGGGAAATTTAAAGCAGCGAGTCTACTTCATTCCTGTATGCAGTATTTAGTGTTATCTCTGAATTAAACCAGTCATTTAGCAACCATTCAGAGTTAAGACGGACCCCCCCCAAAAGGGACTTCTGACCCATTTTCAAAGTTTTGACATCAACCCCCCCCATGGTCATGTGATTGCATTTTTTGTGCTCAGCAAGCAGCCCCCATTTATGGCTTTTTGCAGTGCCCTGTAGTCACATGACTGCAATTTATAACATTTTTGCCAGAAACCAGCATTTACTTCTGGTTTCCGACAAAAATTGTCCTACAGCAAACAATGAGTTTACTTAACAACCATGGTGTTTGCTTAACGATTGCTGCAAGAAATGTAGTAAAAAATGGGCCCAGTCGTGTAACCAATTTTACAACCATCACAAATTATAACCATAATTGCCAGGCTCAATAACAGTCATAAGGAATTAATTTTTCCCATCTGCATATTTGACTAACAAGACTTGGAGAGTCTCCAGGAGCTGAGTCCCAAAGACTCTGAAGGCTATGTGAAGTTGTGAAGGGTCAGGCTGCACCAATCTGTAATAGGCCTCACCATAGCGGGAACTGTAAATGGGTCTTTGAGTGCATGCAACATTGCTTTGCAACGATTCATCTTCGCAGGAGGAAATCAACATTGGGAAGGAGGGGTGGCGGCTGTCTTTAAAAGATAATACTTCACCATCACTGAAAGATCATAGAGCTCCCCACATCATCTACAGCAGGTAGGGAGACCACATAACCAGGTGCAATGAAAGGGGAGAGTGAGTGAGGCAGTGGTTTTCCAACTGAAACAGTCTAATATAGCCAACTGTACAATACTGTAAAGAGCAAAGAGTTATTTTTCTGCAGCATAATGTATCTCTAAAGGAATAGTTTTGAAAACAGAGTATGCTTAAAATGGAGGAGAGCCCTATGATGGAGTAATCACAAAAACAAATGTTGAATGTGGTTTTCAGTAAGAAATGACAGGTATTCAGATCTAGATTTGCATTGTAGCTAATAAGCACAATTACCAGAAGGAAGTGTTGCCGCATTAAGGAATTCTCCTCCAGGGAAATTCGCTGAGAAATAATTATTCTCACCTCCAGATACACACATATGCAGATCCAGTTCTCCCTCTAGGCCATTAGACATAGACATTTTTGGAGTAGCTAAGTAAATTTGAGTCTCCAGTACACCAAAGTACTAAATAACCTCACGTATTCCACTGACATTTCATGGAAGGAAGCAAAGCATACAATAATCACTAAAAAAGCAAACATCCTCAAAATATGTCTTTCTGGATGGGCTAATATAACTTTGACAAGGACAAGAGATTTTCATGGAATTGTTTGCCAGACAAGAAGTTTTCTCCATTCTTTCTCAAGAACTTTACAATTAGACTTGAATGCTATCATTTAACCAGGAATTGAAAATGTGAGTGCCCATGTGTGTCCATTCTCCCTTCCATTTCCTTTTGCAACCATCTCCCAGTAGAAAAGCATTGCCTTGAAAAATGGTGACTGCTCTTTTATATTAAGCAGTTTTAAAAATTTGGAAAAGAATGCATCGCTTGGCAGGGAACAGCATAGTTTATCTGATAAATCAAACCAGTCTGTTCTTTTTTTTTTTTGATAGAATGACCAGTGTAATTGAACACAAGAATGTAGTGGACATAGCAAACCTTGGCCTCAGCAAAGCATTTGACAAACTTCAATAAGCTTCCAGTAGAGAAAATGACAAAATGTGATTAAATGGAAACAGAACTGGATGAACAAATGTGTCAAACAACTATATATCAATAGCTCTGTATGGAATCTAAGGGAAGCATTCAATTGGCTTACAGCAGGCCTCTGTCCTAGATCTCTGCTCTTCAATGTTATTTATAAATGTCTTGGAAGAGGAGTTAGTATGAAATTGCAAATGACAGATAACAGGGATAGCAAAACAACTAGATGAATTTCAAGGCAAACGTAAAGTTTTACATCTGGGTAGGAAAGAAAGGAGTTCTGGGGAAGAAATGATAGACTGAAGACGGCTCTACAGAAAGCAGAGCCAACAACTGCAGGGGAATGAAAAGTTCATGAATACCCTTTGAAACCTCTCCAAAGAAGGTGAGGAAATCATCTTACAAAGACCATAAGGCAGCAGTTTCCAGTAGGTTTGAGCTCCGGGAGACGAAGAAGTTGCCATCTTGCTCAATGTACAATCATCAACTTTGAAAGGACACTGAGTTTGAATAGAAAAGGATATTTTCTTTTCGGAAATAGCTTGACAAATATATCCCATATATATCCCATACACACACATGTACGATATACCTCAGTACATATCATTAATTGATTCTGGGAGGTGCGGTGATTACCAAACAAATTTTTCCCATAAGGAATAATGTAATGAGTCACAAAACAGCTGACAGCTACAAGTTCTACAATAGCTTGTGTGTTGAGTACCAAACAAACAATAAGTATCGGGACAAAGTTTTTGTGTCAGATTGCATTGAGTACCAAATTCAATGAGTTTCAATGCAGTTGAATACCAAGGTACCACGGTATATAAATCAAAGCTTTAATCACACAAACACAAACATATAGAAGTGATTAAAATTTGATTTTAGAAAGTCACAAATACATAAGGGTTTGGTTGCTTTTGTTTTGAATTCTCAAAAAAAAGGTAAGACTTAAAATTGGACATTAGAGGACTAGAAGGAACTAAAAATTACCACCACCAAAACCTGACTTACAAATACAGAATGAAACAAAATATTCTAACACTGGACATATTTGTGAAGAATGGATCCAGAAGTTAATTTTAAGAATCTCTGTCTCTATAGATGGACTGTATTTAAAAGATGTTATAGAAAAGCAACAAGCTTTATCGGACATGACTGAAAATGATTTGATTGTTAATTTAAAATGACAGGCTCTGAGAATAACACGGAAAAAGATGTTATACTGGACATACAAAAGAAATTGGCTTATATCTTAATAATTAAAATAGATATACAAATAAGAAACCAAGAGAGTCACCTGGATAATTTTCCTACACTGGATTTACAAAAAAGGCTTGTTAAAGCTTTGAAGAATTTTGTGAGAAGGGACAAAGAAATTTTTTTTAAAGAAATCAAGTTTTAAGACCTTTTTTTTGAAGGGACTGAAGATCAGAATTCTTAGAAGTAAAAGAAAGTTAGTTTTTTTAATAGGTTTCATGGCTTAAAAAATCGAAAACCCCTTGACTAGATGATGTCTATGGTATTTCCTTTCATTACATTCTATGACTGGTCCATGAAATTTTTAGGGTGAAAAGGAACTAGAAGAGAGGTTCATGTTTAATAGCTTAATCCAATGTGGCTGGCTAGGGAATTCTGGGAATTGAAGTCCAAACATTTTAAAGTTGTCAACATTGAAAAACACTGCCTTAACCATTAATGCCACTGACTCTCTTCTTCTGGCTAGGCTGGTTCAGAGTTCTGGGAACTGGATGCCTAATACCTTTAGGGAACACGTGGTGGTGGGAAGGCAGATTTAGTGGCCGCAACGCATTATGATGGGAAAAGCACACAATCAATATGGCAGACATTCCAAGGTGAGTTCACACAGCTTACTAAACCAAAACATACATTAAAATTACACTTAACCATGCTTTTAAGGTTTTTAAGGTTAGTTTTTTAACTTACACTGTATGAACTCATGCTAAAGGTCAGATCCTGGTATGGATGGTCAAAATTGCTTATATTTGATTAGGCCTAACCAGAATTTAGAAACAAGCTCCTAAACACTTAGTTCCTCCATTTGATTGCTCTTATTTTCTAGAATTTTTGGCATCATCAAGCATCAAATATTTTCTACTGGAGAAACTAAGGATGGACTCTAAAATCTTTTGTGGGCTCTGCTGTTGAAATAGTACTCCCTGTAACAATGAACTGATGCAATTTTGGGGGTCAAAATAAAAAGCTCAAAAGATAGAAGCTCCTGAACAAAACCCCAGATAATTTTTAGCTTTCTAAAATCTGACATCCTCTAAATTAACCCCGGCTGGCGGGAACAGCAATTCAGGTAGTCCTCGACTTAGAACAGTTTGTGTAGTGACTGTTCAGTTACAATAGCACTGAAAAAAGTGACTTATGACTGTTTTTTCACACTTATGACCACTGCAGCATCTCCATGATCACATTATCAAAATTCAGGACTTGGCAACTGATTCATATTTATGACGGTTGCAGTGTCTTGGTATCATGTGAACCCCTTTTGCGACTTTCTGACAAGCAAAGTCAATGGGGAAGCCAGATTCACTTAACAACCATGTTACTAAGTTAACAACTGAGTGATTCACTTAACAAATGTGGCAAGAAAAGTCGTAAAATGGGGCAAAATTCACTTAACAAATGTTTCACTTGGCAACATAAATTTTGAGCTCAATTGTAGTTATAAGTCAAGGACTACATGTAGCTACATGTTAATACAACTGGAAGACAACAAGATGCAGAAGATGTAGGGAATCAGGAACATGACCTTTAGGGAAACAGACAAGAGCAAGCAAAGAGGGAAAGGAGATAAAGTATCTTGAGGTTTGCAAGATGCATGTCAGCCAGATACAGGCAAAGAAACAGCCTGCAGGGGAAGACTAGAACTTCTTATTAAGTTATGCTAAGATAACTGTGCCTTGTAGATATTCTGACCTATCTCACATAGATTAAAAAAAAAACGGGAAGAAGACAGAGCTTCTTATTTGTTTAGAAGGGATCTCTATCCTCCCTATTCATTTCAACATTAAAAAAAGTATGGGAACAGCAGAAGGCACAGAGATGAGTCACATCAGTAACACTGAACCAACACCGGATCTGGGTGCCTGCAAAATCAGTCTTGCAGAGTTCTGTGGCTGTCGTGGGAGAGATTGCTGTTACAGCCTTGCAGCTGCAAGATCAGATAGCCTTACTTGGGAGGAAAATTTAAAAGCAGCACAGGCATCTAATCAAAAGGGAGAGCTCAGTATTTGGAATTGAGAAAAGGGAGGGGGGAGGGGGGACAGAAGACATCTGAAGTAGAGAGCACTGCTGCTCCACACAGTGTTGTACTTTAAAACACCTGTTCAATCCTCAGGCTTTTAATGCACTTGGCTGGAACTCTGGCATCAGATAAGGGCAGCTATAATCTTAGGGGTCCATTCTGAGACCATCATCGGCATTGCAAAGAGGGCTTATTAGTGGGAACTAGGAAGAATCATAATATAGGAAAGATAACAAGGAAACCTACCTCTTTCATTTATTTCAAGCTCTCCTTTAACTAACACAGCTGTCATATCCCAACTTTCAAACTTTGACCAGATTAAGAGAATTAAGGAAGCATATGAGATATCAAGGTAGGAAAAAAAGGCAGTATCAAAAGAGAAAGTAGTAGGGAAACACACAGGGGAAAAAACACAACCCCTTTCCCCCATTCTGTCCTATAGTATGTTGCTTTATAATTTCCTCTGCTGTTTCCACCTTCTTACCTCATGGCCCTAGTTCACTTTGTAAGCTTCAATTTGTGAGATTCCACTGCTTTTTCAAGAACAATCCAAGAAATTAGTTTGGTATCATAGAAAATGTAATGGACACAACTATGGCATCAGCTGTTCTGCCCCGCTCCAACCCTTTCTCAATTCCCCCTTGTGCAAACTCACATCTAGGGTCTCTATTTCCACATCTGGATGAAGGCTTGTCTGCTGAAGCAGAGATGATGTGCTGTTTGATCGTTCCGGCAGGAAGGAAGTACTACAGCCACCAGCAGGAAGTCAAAGGCAGAGGCACTAAAGCACGACGGGGGGGGGGGGGGGCGAGCACGAGGAATCACAAATAATACCATATTCAGAAGTTTTAGGAATATACCAGCATGAAGGGGTGATTTCAAGACTTATTTCATCCTAGTCACCAATTTCCTAGGAAGTCCTAATTTGCTCACTTGATCATAATTCAGATGGCAGATACTTATCGGGGTGGGGAAGTTTTACTGCACTTTCCAGAAAACCCCACTTGTAAGCTTAGATAACAATTAATTTGTGATAAATTTGTAATGCACCCTCCTCCTCTTTTTCTTTCTCAGGAGTTTTGTTTTTCCACAGATAAGTATATTTTGGATATAAATATATTTTTATAGAAGTAAATCTCTACACTAGACCCCTGCCCACTATAAAAATTTATTTAAAAGACAAAATTAAAAAAAATATTTAAAGAAGGGTAGTCTTTTTGTGAATTAACAAATTTTGTGGACTTAAAAAACATCAAAAAGTGATAAACCTTTCATTTTCAAAATAAGGGAAAAATTTTCAGCAGAAACCTGAAATGCATTCTTTGAACTTTTGCTTTTCTTCCTGCTTCAATAAGATTTTAAACTGGATGGACAAAATAAGCAGGTTTTCAAACAAGATTCTGGACTTCCCTGTATAGGATATCAATGATAAAAGCAGCAGTGGACACAAAGTTATTTGAAAAATATTCAGATAGGAGCCTATCCCATAAAGAATATACAGAATATACATTAGAGACAGATTATACATGAATACAAAAACCATTTTATCAAGGTATAATTGTAAGAACAAAGATCAAGTTTATATGATCAGTAGAATTAAATTCTAAGTAGGTTTCCTGGAATGTATCATTTTGGACAGTGGAAGAGAAAATATTACATATTTCAAAAAAAAAAAAATCTTCTGATACACAGTAAAATCAAGACAACACACAACAGTCAAAGTAAATGTGATATAAAGCAGCTTCATATGTTCTATTAATACATATATCTTACTTATGTATATAAAGTAGTTATAGTAAGTCTGTTCTTTACATGAAAAAAATCCAATGCAGAGGAAGAAAATTATATTCTCTCTTATCATTGCTTATTTTTGAATTATAAAAGACTTTCTCCATAGTATCCATCTTTTTTTTAAAGAGTGTCATTCACTTCTTATGAAGATGGAATAGACCCAAGAATGTTCTATCACATCTTTTTAAATTCTTAGAAAGGTTGTCTTTGTCTTATTTTAATCTGGTATTATGCTACATATATAATAACTTTTCAGTATGCACCTTCTCCCCAAATATCCAAAAATGGTTTCAGTCCAGGAAAAGTGCTAAGCAGTTCTGATTACTGTATGTAAAGTCTGTAAACAGCAGAGTCTGTTTCATAAGACTTCACGTATTAGTGAGCTCAGTGAAAAATGTTGTACTTACCAGGAGTGAAACACTATGCTGTTTCTTACTTGTACCATACAACACCAAACTGCAAATCCAGAAACGTTCTTACTAATCGTATCCTCCTATTTCTGCACCAATCTTGTAGGAGCTATCTAGTCATCATTCTGTGCTTTTCCCTTTCCTCCCACACCACCTGAAATTCAAAACAGCAAGCCATGATGATCATGGTTCAGGTAAAAGATTCACCAAGCATCCACAACTACTAATCTGTAAAACCAACATTGACTTTTAAACTCAAGATGACATCAAAGGAAGGTCAAGACAGCATGCAAACTGAAAGAAGTTCAAAAGTGGTAAATGATTAACAGGTCAAACATTATACCAAAATCTGCATTAAGGAAGATAGGATTTTGGACCTGAGCCTTGATAGCACAATGGTTAAAATGCAGTTCAATCTTGAACCGCTCAAGGTTTACTCAGCCTTCCATTCTTCCAAGGTTGGTAAAATGAGGACTCAGATTGTTGGGAGAAATATGCTGACTCTGTAAACCACTTAGAGAGGGCTGTAAAGCACCGTGAAGCGGTATATAGGTATAACTGCTACTGCTATTGAATGCTTAAACTATGTTGCTAATCTCTCTTGGTTTTTTATTTAGGTTGCCTAAGGGAGGGACAACATCCTGCTATAGTTTCAGCAGATATTGCCTCCACATAGTGTATTCCAATCATGCTTTTCTACTCCAAAGATCTGCTTTACAAACTAAACCAGTGAAAGCACATAATCATATAAATTTTAGATTTGGTATCAGATAATGAAATTCTATACAGTTTTGTCTTGAAGAATTTGCAGATCCCGTGTTGTTAAAAAAGTTGCCTCATCTAATCTGATAACAAGATGTTCCCACCTCTGATATCTGAGAAAAAGAAACCTCTAATGTAAATTAATAACAACTCCTCAAAAGATTTCAGAATCAAATTAATTTATTGTGGCACAAGCCAAAGCCCACTTTTTTCAGATGAATGAAGAAATACAGGCAGAAGAACTAAAAATGAATGAAATCTGTAGGCCAAAATACACAAGCTGCAGACTGTAACATTTCCCCATCAGCTTAAGAGAGACTTGCCGCATTAGTGATCTTAATGTTATTGCTCTACCATAATAACCAGTCAGTACGGCTGGGGGTTGAGCTTAATTCAAACTATTTGTAAGACATCTGGCAGGAAAAATTAATTTCAATTACAACTCATTTTTCTACATTTGATTTTACATTGAATCATACTGAAATGAATCCATAATTGACTGTAATGGTTCTAATCCATTTAAATTACAAATTAATAAAAAACCATTTATAGCTAAAGTGCAACCACTGTCTTTCACAGATGTCTCTGCAGGAAGCCTGTTAAGCTTCTTCTCTTCAAGGTAAAGACAAAATACAGCTAGCGCCGTTACAAGCACTTCAAATGAAACAAACAAACTGTTCCACTTAATGCCAGGAGCAGAAGCCAGATGCCAGAAGAACCGCGAGTAACATACAACAGTAAGCATTGAAAAATAGGAGCTGAAGCTAGTCATCACAGGTAGTTCCTCCATGGATCATGGCAATAAACAACACTTGGTTGTATAAAACAAGATATCAATCATCCAAACCTTGCCCATCTTCATGCCAATGTTCAACAGCAATAATGTTAGGAACAAAAATATTAAATCGGAGTCTGAGGCTACAATCATTTATGCAACATTTTTTCATGCAAGTTTTCATACTTCAGAAGTTGACAATGACTTCTTAATAAAGATGCAAACCTTTTTAGCTCTCAAGTCAAGTATAATTGACACATCTTTTTTAAGAGTCCCTCCTAACACTGACCTTGTCATGAATACTGGAAAAAAAAAAGCAAGGGGCATCTAGATAGTCAGTTCCTATCAGGATATTTCAGAGGACTGTAAAAATGGAGGTATCATCCAGACATTCTGCAAAAATATATGAAGGCAGTGAGACTACAAATAAAAGCCTTGTGGGCTGAATGATTCTGTTTTTCTTAAAACCCAAGGCTGTTGAAGACTGATCTTTTCAGCCATTTCTTTGTATACCCTTTACAGGTTGCTTTGAATTTCACAATGCAGGAAAAAAAATGAATGAAATAAAAATAAAACCATCCAAGTAAAAGGAAGTAGGAGATGAGTTTTCGCCATTTCATCCTCATTCATCTGAGAAACGTGAATAGTGTTTGTGATTTATAAAAAAAAGTCCTATGTACACAGCAAAAAATTGTGATTTCATTTCCTGTTGTCCATAATCCTGCCTTGATGCCTTTAAGAGAGTCTCTCTCTGTCTACTCAACTACCAAATACAAATCTGTTCAAGTTTCCAAAACTGAAGCAGGATAAAGATGAGACTTCAGATAAGGACACTGGAGACAGGAACTTTTGTTGATCGCCCATGCTGAGGAACAACAATGCGGTCCTCCCCTTCCAAAGACTCTTGCAGCTGACCTGCAGTGAGGAAAGAAGCATGTTAAGGTCTGCCTTCAAAGGGGCTGGCCTTGTCCAAAGAGGACAAGATTTTGAAAAGAGTGTGTCATATGTCTGAGCTCTCTTTCCTAATTTTCAGTGCTGTTTTCTTAGTGATATTGCCTTAGTTGTACTTCCCTTATTTCCTTCACAATTATATTTTGGCATATACAGGTAGTCCTCGACTTACAACCATTCAGTCAATTGTTCAAACCTTACAAAGGCACTAAAAAAAACTTATGATGGTCCTCACATTTACAAGGATGATGCTGAGGACCTCACACTGGTCCTCAGCATCATCACATGATCAAAATTCAGGCACTTGGCATTTACAACAGTTGGAGGGTCCCAGGTGCCATATACTAAATAAGATAAATAAGGGTCCCAAAGGTCATGTGATCACTATTTGTGACCTTCCCATCCTGCTTCTGACAAACAATAGGGAAGCCAGATTTGCTTAAAAATCCTATGATTCAATTAACAACTGCAATGATTCACTTAACCACAAGAAAAAATTGTGGTAAAATTGGATATGATTCACTTAACCACCTTGCTTAGCAAAGAAAATTCTAGTCCCAATTCTGGTCGTAAGTCAAGAACTATCTGTACAGCAATTCTGAGTACGCTGGCATTACTCTTGCTCTGGAACTACTGTTTCAATGGTTGCAAGTAGAAGCATTTGAGGTGAATTATTTTCTCCCATCTTTCTTTCAATATTTTCAAGAAAAAAAGGAAAGAAACAAAAAAGAGAAAGAAGGGGAGAAAGGAAAAGAAAAGGACAAAGTATAAAATAGGGAAGTGAGCTTCAGTGCTTTAAAGATTTTGAGGAAAACTTGGTTTAGGAGCATCTGGGAAACATCTGAGGTCAAGAATGCTTCTAGTAACAGTTCAATGCCAGTGACTATCTCCTGAGGAACCCACACTGAAAATGTTCTCAAACGCTCAACATTTCAGGATAGATGATTCATTTTTGCACTTCTAGCACTGCCTCCTTTATGTGTAGCAGAAGATAATAAAGCCAAAGGGTGTACACCTCTGTTCTGCTAGCAGCATGTGTTTTTTTGTAACACAGCTCTGAATTCAGACACATTGTGAATTCTTGAGGCATTAATTCCAACTCTGCGGAGCTGGCAGAGGAAAAAAGGTTTTACCTTGTGCATACAGCTCTGTCCGTTTACGATCTGCCTGAATGAAACAAGCTGTAGCTAGGAAGAAACCCCCACCGATAACGCCCACAAAGCTGCAGACCATAAGTGCATATTCCAGGCTTCGGAACTGTGACAGCAATGAAACGGGGCGATCGCTCTGGATTCGGTCACTAATCTATGAAAAAAATTAAACAATAATCATGCAATCTATTAGGTAATTTCCCAAAGGAAAGCCTTCAGAATTGGATACTGTTATTTATTGCGTCTCTTGCTATTTCATCCCACCTGAAATAAATAGCAAAATAGGCACACACCATGGTTTATTTTTCTTTTGCAACGGAAAATGTAACATTGGTTTTTCATAAAATTCAGCTACTGAATCTGAACAATAGCAGCCCACTGCATGCAGAACAGAAGTAAACATGAATCTGGAACAGTAGTTCCCCACAAGCTTTCAATTAACTCTGTTAGATATCTCTAAATAAAAATGGGTATGGAATCTACACTGTCTCAAGAGCAAAACCATAGTTTTAAAGCAGTGCCCTGCTTTAATCATATCTATTAATTCCAGTTCCAAAGCTCAGCATCTGCAGGGATCTTACAGTCTTAGGAAAATTACAATGCAAAAGGCTGTGCTGGAACATTTTAGTTTGAAAAAGAATTACAAGGAGAACCTGGAATCCAGGTAGTTCCAAGAGGTTTTGTGAACTGCTTTGATCTGGTTCTAATTGGGTGGAAGAACAGAAAGAAGAAGAAAAAAGAGAAGTTGCTTAGGAGGTGGAACAGATGGCAGGAACATCAGCTCTACAATATGACAGCCTAAGCCTTATATTAAAAATGCTTACCAAACCAATAAGATAAGGGCTTCCTGCATCACCCAGAAGATGGGACAACAGAATCTGAAAAGCTTCAGCTGTGGAACGGCGAGTAGGGATGACAACATACTGCAAAGAGAAAAGGGGATCTTTCATTTGATACCCTTTGTCAAGAAAGATCAAGTGACTATTTTATTGTTCTAAGCTACCCAAAGTAGCTCATGGCAAGATGGGTAGCAAATAAATTTAATAACTAAATAAAAGAGGAGCAGGGAGTTTGATTCTACAGGCTTGGAGCCACAAAACTCCACTACTTGTTATCAGAAAGGGGAAAAGCCAAGAAAGGTGGCTAGATGGGATTGGTGCTGCTGCTCTGAAGGTATGAGGCAATTAAACAAACACAGATACATTGAGGAACCTATCTGCAACATTATCTAGGGAAAAGGGAAAAAAATCAGACATTGATCACATGAACTATCAAAGGTCATGTAGGGTGAAACAGTTTATAATTCTCCTGCTAATTGTTTCTCAATTTCCACTTAAAAGGCCTGCATTCCTGCTATTAATTTCCAAGTCTCAGACCCTATTTGTTGAGCCAATGTTCATGTTTTCCCTTCCCAGATCTCACCAGAAGGATGTCTGCCACTATGGCCCAGTTGAGGGAAAGGAGGGTTTCACCAATAAAAATAAATACCTACAAGGAAGAATGAAGAAAAATCATTTCATTATATCTTTAAAAGCTATACTATTTTTCATGTAGTGCCATACATAGAAATACCCTTTCCCATGCCCCCAAGCTCCCATGCGCCTCCTAAAATGAAGGAGAAACTCGAGAAACTCACATAAGTGGCAACAATGCTCTGCTGAGCAAAGACGACAGCCAGGAACAGAAAGGGGGCAGACCCAAGCAGTCCAATGGCACACACCAGGGGATCAGCACGGGGATTGGTGCGCTGCCAGCGTCTTGAAATCTCCACTCCAGCAGTAACACCCAGGACACCAGTCACACAAGTAATAATACCAAAGATGAGGCTGCAGAGATAATTACATACGGCCTGATGAGACTCATCAGAAATGGTTCAAAACAAGTAAACAATCAGCGTATTGGAATCTTTTCAAAACCCAAAGTATTTAGAAGAGCTCGGAAATAAGTTGTCATAATGTTCCTCAAAAAAGAGACCAATAAAATAAACCAGAAATCAAAACATAAGACAGTTCCCAGTGTTAACTCACCTGTCAGAGTCTCCATGACAAACCTTACCACTAGGGCAAGGTGGGAGATTTCCGGCGGCCAACTGTGAGCGGTACAGGAATGCAGGTGCCCACAATGCTAGAGAGCCTGTTAC